GGCAGGGTTTTCTTGTTAAGATTTGTCAGCAGGGTTTGAGTCACTCACTCTCTCACCCCAACCTTCTGCCTTTACTCCCTCCCCTCCAGTGCAATGAGAATCATCAGATCTGTTGTTCCCACTTGTTGAACACGCTTCGGGATCAATTATTTAAAAAAAAAAAAAAAAGCTAAATGATCTGCCTTCAGAAAAAGCACTTCTTTTGCATTTGCCTCTGTTCACCACAATTAAAACCATGCCCAGTCAGTTCTACAATCGTTTCAAGTGTGAACGAGGCACATATAATCTGATCAGAAAATCACTTTAAATCATAGTGGGAACAAGACCTCAGAACCTCTGGAGAGGCACATGAATCTCATCCCTGTTTTAGCACTTAGGTAAAAGTATGTTTTAGATCTTGGAAAAGTTGCTTTGGGGATTACAGTTCCCAGAATCAGAAATGTGGGGAGCTGCAATCCAACATGTAACATTTCCAAGCTTTGCTTTTATTTTTGAAAAGCCTTTAAAAAGCAAAGAACAAAAGCTGTAAAGAAGAAATGAACAGGTTGGAGCACCTGTTGTCCCCCACCCCCACCATGGTAACTGCCTCTTATCTGAACAATGCTATGGAAATTGTTGAGTTGTTTTTTCCTGTAAGACTGGGGACACAGCCCAATCTGTATGATGCCAGTGCTACAGCGCACAGCCCAAGAAGGGATGCCACTTTGTTTACATCTGTTGCTGACAATTGCAGCAAGCTCCTTAGCAGCACACATGACCCGGAAAACCACCTTCCTCCTTGTTCTACACTTCCTTCCTCCCAGCACTGATGGCCATGTTTGGTACTCCCTTCCAGTTGATAACCTGCCAAGTAGTAACTCCCTTGAGCAACTCCCCCCCATGGGTTATGGCGAGCAGAACATGCAAAGCTGCAGTGTGTGTGTTGTGTATTTTCACACAGCAAGTTCACAACTGCTGCTGCTGCATGCTTTTCAGTCCTCACACTCTGTGCCGCCAACTGAAGAATGTTTCTTTGCTGCAGAGCACCATGCAAAGGCCATCCTTGCCAACAGACTTAGGACGTTATCACACGGGGGGCAAATCTGCTGGTTAATCCACACA